TCTTATTATTAAATTCCTTTATTCCTTCATATTTGTCTTTCCTCCCTATTTCATTTTTCATATAAAATGTTTCAACAAGTAAGTATGTGTGATCAGATTATTCGAAATGTATAGCTCACATATTTTTTCATATCTAGATATTCGTTCTTCTGATGCCGCTGGAGTTAATTCGAGATTGATACAAACTCCCAAGACTGACATCCAGTTGGGGAAAAACTGGCAATCTGGAGGTAGTGGATATTCATTTAGTCTTGGTTTACAACTCCATTGAAGTGTGAACTTATGATGTTGTGAGGGAATTAACCTAGAACCCATCAAGTTTCATCGCGATCATGTACTCATTCAGTCACTGATGTCAATCAATCCATCTTCATCAACTATCAACTGGATTATTCTCACTAGTGATGATTTATGACTTGCTACAAGGTGAAATTCCTAAAGTTATAATAAGACAGACTCTAGCCTATAGTCTTATATGCATGAAAAATGTATGTACTGTGCAGAGAATCAATTCATTATCACTACATTTCTGTTGGGTCACGCTACACCACGAAATGACAAAAGTAAGTAAATGTAGATCATTGGATTGAATAATAACATGACTGTTAAGGGATTTGATGATCTTCGGTTCGATCTATCACGGCGTGGTGGGTATGAACTTCTGTAGAGTCCAAAACAAGGAAAACACAACTGTCCAGTAGCCTTCAGGTTTTCAATATTTCGCCAATGAATTGTATGTATGAAACGCGTCAACTTATATCTGTTGACAGACAGACAGACAGACAATATCAACGTAAATCCTTCCATACACGTGCACTGGTTCAAGTTGTCACACTACATACTAGTATACAAAGAACAAGTGGATAGAATAAGACTAATACCAAAGTAGACAAAGTTTAGTAAGAGAATAAAAAAATCTGTAGACAACCGTCAGTGCACATACTCAAGCTTTAGAAGACGTCAATGAGTGAATACATCCAAGCCATCGTGACCAATTCCCAGCCACATCACCAAGATTCATCAACCACTGATTCCTATCGTCTCACAGACCCCAATCAGACAGTCTCTATCTCTCCACATAACTCACATCAACAGTCAGAGACTTCATCGACTCGTATCATGTCTTGTTCTGCACACCTAATCCAACTTCCCTAGTGTGGCACATCGAGGTGGGCGATGGCTCGGTATAAGCAGTAAATTTCCAGGCCATCTCAGTCTAGAAAGGTTCACAACTTCATCAATCGACTTGGCTATCTTGCCTAGTACCCTTCTTCTGTTTAACTTTACTCATATATATTTCATATAGAACTATCAAATGAATTTTACCTAGAATTAACAGTATTTTAAACAGTTTCCAATAGATAAAATGAAGAGCTTTGCAATAGTATACCTTATTCTTAGTTTTTTCTGCAGCCGCCAATTTAGCTCTCTCCCAACGTGGATAAGATTTCTCTGGATTAGGTGTTTCATGTACAGAACGCCAGTGTCGAGTACGTTTAGAATCTGCTTTAGCAGATTGAGATTCTTTCTTCGGTGATATGGATGTTCGTAGTGACTTACGACTATGTTTGGAACCAGTGTGGCTAGCAGCAGAGGAAGTATGTGAACGGGATCTATCTGAACTTCTCGGAGTCCGAGATGAAGTTTGTTTGGATGAACTAGCTGAAGGACGTCGTTGTCTTGCAGTAGGCGTTGTGCTACAAAGTTATTTGAACAAAAATACAAGAATACAGTTTATTTTGGATAGTGTAGTAAGGCATTATTCCATTTTAGTTCGTTTACTGAATGTATCACACACAGTGAAGTAGAATGACTTATTGGCTAACGTATGGAGCAAAATTTACTACTCACCATACTTGATATAGCCATGATGATGCGGTTTAACCTCGCCTGGTTAACTAACTCACTAGTAACTAGCTGCTCCTAAGCCTGGGTAAAGAGGGAAGGTTGGGCATAGGGCTAGCAACCCTACCCCCTAAAACAAATCTAACCACTCAACAAACTTCAAAGCACAAACAAAATATAAAAAATGAAAACAAAATTATTCCTCTCCGGAATCGGAGAGGCGAAATGACGCCAGTTGGTGAAAGCCTGCCTTCGGGAAGCCAATTGGCCGATGTGTCTTCTCTCCCTCGACGAAAGCGAAAGTAAACGTGGGGACATGGAATGTCCGCACCATATTTGAACCCAGCAAGGCAGTCCAGATTGCAAACGAGATGAAGAGGTATCACACTGAAGTGCTTGGAATTCGCGAAAGCAGATGGAATGGGAGTAGACTCTCCAAACTGTCAACTGCAGAATCAATAATCTACTCCGTTACTGTCATCCAGACGACAACCACGAGCACACTGAGTTTCCGAGTGGCTATCATGATGTCCCCAAGGGAATCGAAGGCTCTCATGCAGTTGGGAACCAATCTCCTAATGCAGGATCATGACAGCAAGGTTCAACTCAAAAGGAAGGAAGGTCAAAATCATACAATGCTACGCTATGCTGTGCACCTACAAATAATGCAGATGGAGAGAAAAAGGAGGAATTCTACAGACAACTTCAATCAACACTGGAAAACACCCCACTCCAGCTGGCGATATCAAAATTATAATGGTCGACATGAATGCCAAAGTGCAGGAGCGGACAACACAGGAAGAGAACTAACCGTGGGTCGAGAAGCGCTAGGTGAAATGAACGAGAATGGAGAATTGTTTGCAGAATTCTGTGCACTCAACGATTTGGTGATTAGAGGCACTGCGTTCAAGCACAAGGACATCCACAAAGCGAGTGACATGGATTTCACCAAATGGACACACGAAAAATCAGATCGACTTCATCTCAATCTCAAGAAAGTGGAGACACAGCCTACTTGACACAAGGTCAAGAAGAGGAGCAGATGTAGGTTCAGGCAACTATCTAGTGCAAGAAACCTTCCAAATCAGGTTAAAAGCCTTCAAGGAAGCTGGTGATAGACCATAGTTCAAGTACAACACTCGGAAACTGAAGGATGAAACTACAAGGGACATCTTCACGGCAGTTATCAAGACAAAATGGGAGATATCGAGGAACATCCCTGAAGAAACCTGTGTGGTGTGGAAGAACACTGGAAGTCTTTGAAAGAGGTCTGGAAAGAAACCTGCACAGCCGTATTAGGAAGGAAGAAGAAAGAAGTCAAGGAATGGATCTCGACGGATACATGGAAGCTGATAGAGGAGAGGAGGATGGTGAAACAGAAGATAAACCAGTGTAAGGATGCACAACGACAAGAGGAACTGAGTACAATGTATAAAACACTACACTGGACAAAGAAGTGAAGAAGAGTGCGCACAAAGACAAAAGACACTTCTACGAAACATTGGCAAGTGAAGCAGAACAGGCTGCAGGTAAGAGAGATAGAGACCTGACAACATTGTATCAAATAACCAGGTTACTCACTGTCTGGGAAGAGATCAACGCAGGCGAAACCAATAAAAGATGATGAAGGAAATATAATTACGAAAGAAGAGAAACAAAGGAAATGATGGGCCGACCACTTCAAGAAGCTCTTGAATCGACCACCACCTGCACTTCCTCCACAAATACCACCTGCAGCCACTGAACTACAAGTGAACATAAATCCTCCAACAAAGGTGGAAGTCTTGAACGCCACAAAGCTACTGAAATGTGGGAAAGCAGCAGGACAACATGGAATCCCGCCAGAAGCACTGAAAGCAGACACAGAGACAACAGTGGACATGCTCACACCACACCACTATTGCAGAAGGTGTGGAAGGAAGGGAAGGTACCTGCCCATTGATTGGAAGAAGGGTTACCTTCTCAAACTCCCGAAGTAGGGAGACCATAGTGTTTGCAAGGACTGGCGCGGAATCACTCTCCTGTCCACCCAGAGCAAGCAAACTATTAAGCCGCATCATCCTGGAGAGACTAAACGATGCACTGGATTCAAAACTACGACTGGAACAGGCTGACTGGATTCAGGAAGCACAAATCATGTGCGGACCAAATTGCAACGCCACACTACGCATCATGATAGAAAAGAGTATAGAATGGCAGTCAACTCAATTCTCTGCCTCAACTTTATCGATTTTGAAAAGGCCTTTGACAGCGTCGACCGAGAAGTAATTTGGCAGGCAACTGCTTCAACACTACGGAATACCACAAACCTTTATCAGCCTCATTCAACAACTATATGAAGATGCCACATGCCAAGTAATTCACAATGGCAAGGTCAGCTCAGTGATGATGTCTTTGAAGTGAAGACAGGAGTGAAACAAGGCTGTCTACTATCACCCATGATATTGTTGATTGTGGTCGACTGGACTGGATCATGCAACAAACAGTGAGGAGCTGTGAGAAGAAGGGGATACATCGTTTGACCACGGAGACGAGCCTAGAAGATTTGGATTTCCCAACGATGACTTGTGTCTGATGTCGCACGAACTCGAAGATCTACAGACGAAAACTAATAAGTTGACAGAAGAGGCAGGGCAGGGCAGGGCAGCGAATACAGGACTTGAAGTGAACGTAGAGAGGACAGAGGTGATGAAGATACCCAACCAACACCACCACCACCACCACCACCACCACCAATAACAACAACAACAACAACAACAAGCACTAATCACCATCAACTGGAGAAACTTGAAGGAAGTAACCTCCTTCACCTACCTAGGCAGCATCGTTTCAACTACAGGAGACACAGGCACAGACGAGGATGTCAAAGCCAGGATTGGAAAAGCAAGACAGGCGTTCATTATTCTGAAACCAGTGTGGAGATCTACTGCACTCAGCACAAAGTGTGAACAAGATGCGGATTTTCAACACCAATGCAGTCAGGTCAGTGCTTCTATGTGATAGTTGAGAGACTTGGCGCGTTATGAAGGGGATTTCCAACAAACTACAGGCATTCATCAACAACTGCCTACTCTAGCTTGTTACTGAGGCTCAGATGGCCAGAATAGTAGGAATAAGCAACAAGAAACTCTGGCTGGCTGGCTGGATGGCAACGAACCAACCACGAACCTATTGCTCAACAAATATGCAGTGGAAGGAAGTGGAGATGGATTGGGCATACACTGAGAAGACCATTCGGGACATCACGTGCCAGGCCAGGCGCTGTATAGAACAAGTAGACAGGAGAAAACTCTTCAAAATAGACGAAGGAGCATTTCTCACAGCGATGTAGGTGTTAAGACTGGACACGAAGCAACTCACTCGTTATAGGATTTCATATACAGGTGAGTCACCGTAGAATCCATCAAAAAAGTGTATCACTCAAGTTGTCCACACCTCAAATGTTCAATACTTCGGTGTAAACATTTGTAGTCCGCGTTTGTAAAATCGAAAAAATTTGAGCTGACCATATTTGATAGCTAACCTGGGAAGTAGGATCAGCCCTGGTGGCTCAGTGGCCGATGAAATCTCTGCACGAATACAAAACCTCGCCTAGATTTTGCTAACCGTGGCGTCACCGTGATATCTGATTGTCTATTAAGAGTTGCGTGTACTCCATGACAGTCCGTTCTGTTCCACTCTACGGCTGTGAAACATGGCCAATGAAGGTGGAAGACATGAGGAGGCTGGCTTCAGATGTTTAACTACCTTTACCTTCGTAGTATAGGCCGTACTCCATGGTGTCATCACGTGAGTAACGCAGAAGTCAGGTGTGGAGTTTTAGGGAGGGAGAAGAGGTAAATCAGTTGATGAGGTTGTTAACCTTGGTTGACTGAGATGGTTGGAACATGTGTTACGGATGCCTAGTCACCGGTCACCTCGTCACACAATGTTGGCCGAAGTAGGTTCAGGTTGACAAAAGGCTTTTAGCTCTCGACCAGACTAAAATATGGCATGGATGTATGAAGTGTTTGACTGTTGGTTTTAGCCATGTGGTGCGATGCAGACTAACTTGTTGGGGTCAGTGGGACAGGAGAAATCAGTGGTTGGAGACTGACTCTAGATGATCACATGGCTGAGAACCGATGTCAGTGGTGCAGATGTATCCGCACACATATTATCCTCACCTTAACAAGGTTATACTGAATCTCACCACTTTCTCATTCTTCCTTTCTCGCTTTTCGTACTTTATCCATATATTTCTTTTGACAGAATTTTCTTTTCTTCATCTTCCACTTCACTGCCTTTTAACTTGATGTAGTGATATGAGGTGTGGCAAGTTGGACTGTTACTCAGTAATGCCTGATCGTATGTTGATTTGGATGGATGGATGGAGGGAACTAACTGTTTCGAAATAAAATTATTTCCTGGAATATCAACTAGCAAATAATTAGTATCAGTTTTAGTTCTAGAAACGCACTCAGTCACGACTACATTATTTCAAAATGCACCCTAGGTGAAACAAAAATATCAAATTAGCTGATGGTGAAATCATCGAAATCGTTCTTGAAGTTATTTTTCTCAATGTCGCACTTATTGTGTACTTTTTTCTACCGTTGATCATCACCCTGGTAGTCAACAGATTCAGTAGTTTTCTTCCTGGCCTAATTTTAAATAGTGTATAGCGTTATCTGAAACTATTTCGATAGCACAGCTCATATTACAGTACTCTGTAATAATCACATTTATTGGGGGAAGGAGGAACTGTGTAAGAGAGGTTGAGATATGTTTTCTTGGTAACGATCTTTAATCTCATTTTATGAAGTTACCCCACAGCGCTGCCTTCGATGAATTGGACACTGTTCACCATCCCAATGGTTTTCGCATAGATCATATAGATTTCCCAAACCTAGAAGCGCTTGAAAGAAGTGATGTGGGGATCACTTTATAACCTAACCGGGTGGTTGACACTTCCCGGCTACCCACATCTTGGAAGATTATTTCTTTTTAGGACACCTGAAAGCGAAAAAGATCTGTTTGACCACAAAGCCTAGGAAACATCTGCTTGAGGTGCACCATACACAGCCTTTTGTCGATTTTTGTTTTCAGATTTTGACACAGTAAACTCATACTTTCGGCACCGGAAGACTGTGGAATAGGGAGGATTATGTTATACCTGACGACGACCTTTTTTAAACTCCCCTTCCCGCAGAGAAGATAGGATCAGTGTCTCACTGCTAGTCATCCAAGAGAAACATCTTACTGCTGTCGTAACCCGTTACCCTCAGATCACCATCATAGTGTAGCAATTTACACTAAAATCGTAACCGTTTTTTGTCTTACCACTCACTATCCAACAGATCTTTCTGATATAGTAGGATCTCGAGAGAACAAACGTTCCAACCAGTGTAGCTTGCTGGGTCATTGTCACATACAAGACCGATCGCTACGTCAAGGTAGCGGCTATCGGCCGAGAAAAGCTACATTTTGGCGAATAGTTGTGCTTAGCTGGTATCTACTATTTGCGCACCCTGATTTTAATGTGGAGTTTCAGAGATAATAAGAGACGGATGGGATTGAGACATTAAAAAAAATCCAACTCAAAATCAAGCTCATTAATGTTTGTTCTACAGTGCTCTAACACCTAGTACAAAAACAGTAAGACAGACTAAAAATAAGTATATCGACAATGAGAAATAAACTGCTTCTAAGTTTTATTGGTATTTAACTATATTTTTACTCTTCTTACGGTCATTATTACCATGTATGATCATCCCCGTTACAAATTTTTAAACTGCCATTTTACCTTGGGGTGATGCTTCAACTAGTCATCCCATTAAATCCACGTTTTGCTAAACAGTAGTGAAATCAATAGTATCAGTATCAAACAAGCGGGATTGCAAACAAACGCGAAGATATCCGGTGAGAAAGGATATCCACAGACTGTCATCAGTTCATATTTTCACCTCACATAAAACCAAGTAAATTTAATACGGAAAAAAAGTCAGTTAACACAGAAATTTAACAAGGTACAGAAGTAAGAAAATACAAAGAAAAGAAACCAACCTTGCAAGTTTGTGTCTTGTCTCTCGTTTCACTTGTATTCGTTTAGTTGGAGTTCGACATTTACGTTTCGAGCGTTGACAGGGAATCAGCACAAGTTGAGGAGCTGACAAAGTTTTGGAAGATCGGCGTTTACTAAACTCCATGTTGGTAGGACAAGAACTAATAATTAAACTGGATGCAACTGGGGTAGATGTTAAATGATCAGGAGTTTCGGTAGATGCAAGTGGGATGAGAGCTGAGTCAGTAAACAAAGCACGTGGAAGCGACTGTCTGAGAGTATTGCGTGGTACTGGGGGAGATTGTAAAAGAGTTGTAGGCCTAGAAGTTTGATTAGAAAACATGAACTCAACGAATAAACCTCAGTTACTATGAATAGGAACCGAAAAATTTTGGGTCGAAAACTAATCTGCTCAAATATTTCAACGCACTTCTTATTTTGACGTGTGAAACTCATTCAAAACCAGTTTTTGTCAGAATTCACATCTCTTGCAACTTAACTCAATACCGACCAACTCAACTATTTGTTTGGATACTCTGTTCTCTGTGGTCACCTCCCACCTTGTTAGCCAGCTGAGCAGTTCGTCAACATCACCATGGGATCTGGCATTACTGCACAACGATTCGAGTGCTCATGTCTCACATCAGCACGTCAAAATAAAAAGCATACCGATAAAAGGTAGACAAGTCAGCGATACAGTAATCAAAAGTGATAGAAAGTCATGAAAAGAGAGGAGGAGGACATGAGACAGTAGTGAAATTCAGTATGACGATTAAGATGAAGATTATGTGTGACAGTGAGATCGACTCACAGTAGTATCACATAGAGTCTTCAACCACCAATATTGATTGTTACGGGGATGGCACCCAATCAGGAAGTTTGCATCTTCCAAACATGACTAAAACCAATAGTCGAAGGCTTCATCGACTGATGACATGTTTCAATTCGATCATCTTTGGCCGTTTGGTCAATATGGTGAGTCAGGGTGGACGGTTGACTAGACATGCGTAACACATCTCACAGATATCTGAGTCGATGTGGTTTGACAGTCTCACCGAATGGCTTTCTTCCCGTGTCCAAAACTACACCTGACTGCTTCCTACATTACGAATATATAATTTTCACGACCAACGGACTATGATGGTGCAAACATGAAGCCTTCTCATATTGTCTACGTTTAATGGCTATGTTTGACAGTCACGTAGTAGAAGAGAATGATGTCCAGGCCCTTGAAAGCAGTGGGATATTACACTGGCTCCACAGACGACGTTATGTGGTGAAAGCTAATCAAGGTTGTTGTATGCACTCAGAGATTTCGTCGATCACTCACCCACCAAGGTTGATCCCACTTTCCAAGTGAAGTGATCAGTGTGCTGCACCGCTTTACTCTCTATTGATAAATGAAGCAGGGATGCACACCGGTCAGTCTTGGAGCAATGATTTGGTTTTTGGTGGTGATAAATGCTTCCCTAAGACACACACACACACTGTTGAATCATCACTCAGTGTCTAGAAGACTCTGGATCTTGTCAGCATCACCTCCCAGGACTATATCATCTGGGTACTCTCGGCTTGCTAATGAGTCTCGTGTGACAAGGCGAATCTTTGTCGAGATAGATGAGGATAGGGAGACTTTGACAAGCATATCGAAATATGTTGGACTTTCTCGGGTTTACTGTTCCTGAGCTTCACTTAGGTGTGGTTATAGAACCTAGAATCTTAGTCCGTGTGTTCACAAGGTAGATTACCCTGTGGTTTACATAGCAGAACTTTTCTCTTCCCTGAAAATGGCGATGTTGAGCAATGAGAGCCAGCCAGTTAGAAGGGATTTATCTGGTTCTGTACATTAGATAACACTGGTTAATCTAACTAGTACTCCTTAAAAACCTCCAGCACTAGCACACCAGGCCATCCTGCCTATATAATTATCCTTGTGAATAGTTCATGCAGGAATGTTTTACATGCATCGATAGATTACCATAAGTGGAGTAATAAATAGGAATGTAAGTAATGAAATAAACGGTCAAATGACTGACTGATTGACAAAACGTAAATCCTTCCACACACGTGCATTGGTTCAAGTTGTCACACTATATACTAGTTTACAAAGAACACGTGGATAAAATAAGACTAATATCAAAGTAGACAAAGTTCAGTAAGAGAATAAAAAAATCTGTAGACAACCGTCAGTGCACATACTCAAGCTTTAGAAACGTCAATGAGTGAATACATCCAAGCCATCGTGACCAATTCTCAGCCACATCACCAAGATTCATCAACCACTGATTCCCATCGTCTCACAGACCCCAACCAGACAGTCTCTATCTCTCCACATAACTCACATCAACAGTCAGAGACCTCATCGACTCGTATCATGTCTTGTTCTGCACACCTAATCCAACTTCCCCTAGTATGGCACATCGAGGTGGGCGATGGCTCTGTATAAGCAGTACATTTCCAGGCCATCTCAGTCGAGAAAGGCTCACAACTTCATCAATCGACTTGTGTGTCTTGCTTAGCACCTTTCGCCTCACCTCAACCTTGCTCACACGATGATTCCAACAAACGCAAGCAGCGCTACAAAGACATTTGTGATCGAAAAGTAGCAGTCTCTTCATGTCTTCTTTTTTTAATGGTCAATGTGAGAAAAAGGTCAGAGAGTAATATAAATCAATAGAGGGCGAAAAGCGACTACACACCATCAGCTTTCGTGTTTGTTATGTACGATCTTCTTCACAACAATGCTGAATTAATCAGTGTTCATTGATCGGACATAAGAATGGGGTGGATAGACGGGCATTTGTTTGCTATTATAAATGTGCGGACTGATTATACTCAAGTGGTGATTACTGTCAGAAATTTTTCGAATAAGTCTCAGGAGAAACTGTCGACCAACTGACCGAGTTAGTTCAAGTGGAGCATCACGTATACAGTTTTATACATTGATAATGATTGATTGCAAGATATAGTCAAAATAAAAAGACTACTATTACTTATCAGATAATGAACGGTCGATCAGGGACAACACAAATGATAGCAGGCAATCAAAGAATTCCTTTCGATTACCCGTATTACTTATAAACCTACGAAACTGCTGTTGATACCGACTCTTCTTGAGGTTCGGAGGAAATATTTGACCGAAAACTCGGGTATTCAGTAACATAGTTTCACTGTAAGACCTACAATCAAGATGTGACTCCATGTAATGAGGGTTATTACTTACTTAGCATACGAACTCAGTACAACAAAAGTACCAAGAGATGAGGAACGACGACCCTCTCAAATATACTTCAGAAAGCATTGAATTAATCTGCTAAACATATTCGTGGCAATGTTGTTTATTTTATGGACTATGATGACGAATTACAACTGGAAACACACGACCAGATGTCTAGGTCAAGTATACATACAAGAGTTTTTTGCGTGCTGATAACAAACTTTATAAGGAAAAACCCAGGTAAAAAGTAATAAAAATCTGGGTAACACGTAGAAGATGCGAAAACAACATACGGGGGAGAGTTGAACATAGCACCATCTACCTCATCAACATTTTCTTCAAGATTGTGTGACTCTGATGCTGTTAATTCCGTATCACTCGGCAAGCATTCAGGAGGTTCCAGGCCTAGATTGATATAGACATGATAAAGTGTGCGAGGGAAAGTTTGCTTGTACCTTTGGAGTAAATAAGAATTCGTCAAGTTACCTTTCTACAACTTCCTGATTTAGAAACCTCTTCCACTCATGCGAAGTTGGATCGCATAAACTAAGTCTGCTGATTAGTTCAGAAATCTAAAAGGATTAGATGCATGGTCTTTCAAACTTACCCAGTCACTAAGTTCATGGTCGGCACAAGCCTCGATTTCCTCGCAAAAGTACAGGAAGCGTGTGTGTAGGACAAATGTGATTTGAAACTGAAGCCTACAAAAATATCCCAAGCAGTAACTGACTCACTCTCTAGAAACTTTATCGCGACTTTCTTCTGACGCATATTTCTCTGAAATCTGTTTGTAGGACATTTTTATTTCCTCATCTACACGCTGGACAAGGGACTGGGGACATATTTGGAAATGGTCATTGTTACCTTTTTCTCCTCAAGAGACATAGAAATACATATTTCTGACAACCGAGTTGTACATTCAACTACAGAGAGCTCACCAAGCTCAACGGCATCGTTGAAAAGATTTTGAAGAAGAGCAAAAGGATCACTGGGAGCGGCCATTTCTTGTAACCAAAGAACAAAACAGGAATGAAACCCACTATCCCAACATCATGCTTCAAGGCAATCCGCTAAATGACCTTCAGTATACGAATACATTCAAATGGTTGTAGATAAGAGTTTATGTACAATTTCCACGGCTTGAAGTTTTCACCCTGTTGCTGAGATTTAAAAGACCAAGCAGATAACCTATCTTCGTTTTGCTCATGTAAATGCGCGAAAAACAGGTAGGATCTGCTCTGAGTTCGTTGCTGATACTGTAAAGAAGTAGTCTGCAAACCCATTTCTTGGTGTGTAGGTGCTGGTCTTTGTCCGAATTTCCCATCATAAGAAATATGCAGAACTGTTGTCGGCTGCTCCATAGCTTTTAAATAATTGAAAATTTTCAGTGATTTTGCATTGCTTATCACACCTAACATGAATAGTCCGGGTGTCGGAAACTTATAATTTTTGATCTATCGCGTCTAGTTCTTGAAGCTTGATGCTTGCCGTTGAGTTTCCTCCTATAGTGGACAGGAAAATTTCTTCTACTCTTCTGCTTTTAGCTCTGTTGGGATGTGCTTTTCGGTTGGTGATTTTTACTTGTAGACTGAGTTGGCTTAGGAAATACGGGTTACGAGGATAATTGGGAGGCCTTTCGTGACTACCGTCTGTATAGCTGCTTGAATGGGAATGCAAGATACCATGAAAATGCCTACAGGGCTTACCTGAGGGGCAGAAGCAAATATTACGGATCTAGTTATTTGAGAAGATTTGGGCGATAATCCAGGTGCATCAAAAAGGCGAAGATGGTCGGCGATAAGTAGGAAAGAAATGGTGTAGGTTTAGTGAGGCCGTCTCTGGTATGCCAAAACAACTAAGTGACTGTCTAGAATTTTCTTGAATGAATCCAGCGAGGGACCTGTGACTAGACCCTTTGGTAAGACATTCCATAAAGTGCGTACTGCTTTCGAAAAAAGTTTGACCTAGGACTGCTTTTAGCCCTCCGATGTCCTATCTTGATGGGATGTCCCCGTGATGATCGCGATGTTGCAGGCAAAGTTCGTTTATTTGCTTGACTCGCCTGACGTATATTGGAGACGTCAAAATGTTCAGAATAGTGGAGATGCTCTACAACTGGCCTCTTTTTTACTACCCTCCGAATGTTTACGTCACCGGCGGAAAGGAGGATGGCCGAAGAGATTTTGTGTGACGGGTCGCCGACGGACAGGAGGAACAGAAGTGGCCTAAGGATTGCTCCTTAGGATACTCCTGAACTAGATGGCTTTCACTTCAACCACGTTCTGCTTACTTTGATGCAGAACTATCTGCTTTCTAGGTACTCTATGAACCAAGGGGTGGAGGTTTGCTTATCACCGCTGACAAGATCTTGTGAAGCAGGATTGCGTTGGCGACACTGCCAAATGCCTTAGCTAGGTCGGCGAAACCAACTTGCTGGTTTTCTGTTGTCCCAGCTAAAAGTTCGGTCGTCCCAGGCGGTTAAAAAGTTGGCGGTAAATGAACGGTCACTCCAAAAGCCATGCTGAGCTGCATGGATGTTGTTTTCTATGCTGAAGAATCCCTAGATCTCGTCCGCCATAAGGCTTTCCAAAACATTGCAAAGTATAGGGAACAGGGCAGTTGACCTGTAGCTACCAAAACTTCTTCATTATCTCTTCACAATGAGTGACAACATCATGTACTTCCATTCGTCGGGGAGTCTAAACGACTCACCATTGCTTGAAGAGATTGAAGGCTGGTTTCGTGATTGCTTCGGTCCAGTTCTTTGGGATGACCGATTTCAGGCAGTCACATCGAGGGGGTTTGTCTGGTTGGAGCCTGGATATTTTTGCCGGCACTCTTTTCCGTGATTTTAGGACGTAGCATAGGCCGAATTCCAGATGTTTTGCGGGCCAATAGGGAAAATGCTATCGTCCAAGTAAGGTACATTAAGAATCCTATATACCTCAAGTCCAACGATGCAGTGGTTCAAGGTTGACTAAAACTGGAATATGGTCCTGTAGCACAGGCCATTACGCGGAAGTCCATTCTAAGTGTTAGCGTAGAGTATTGTAAAAGCCGAATATTTAAACTGTTTCAACACATAAAGTAATAGGGCTGGGTAATCTTGGTCCCTAATATCGTAGGGTTTTCGGTCAGCGAACTTTACTGCAATAACATTAGTAGTCCTCTCACGGTGTAGGAACGTCGCCTAGCTAACTAGCTCACTGGTTACTAGCCGATCCTAAGCCCGGATAAAGAGAAAAGGTTGGGCATACGGCTACCTACCCTACCCTGTAAAGCCAATCCAATAGCTAAAGAAACTTCAAAGCACAAGGGAAACGCAAAAAATAAGAATAAACCCATTCCTTGCTGGAACCGGAGAGGCGAAATGACGGCGGTTGGTGAAAGCCTTCAGGAAGCTAACCTGCCGATGTGTCTTCTCTTGATGAAACAGAAAGTAAACATATGGGCATAGAATGTCTGCATAATGTATGAACCCAGTGAGGCTATCCAGGCTGCAAAAGAGATGAAAAGTTATAGCATAGAAGTGCTGGGAATCTGCAAGGAATCTGCAGATGGAATGGAAGTTGACTTGTTGGAACCAGGAGCTTACGGCTAACGGTCGGGACAGTTAGCTTTAGACAACCACAAGGTAACGAATATGAAAGCATTGGCAGGTGTATAACGTGTTTATTTCAAGCCCTCTGGCTGGCGCGTCAGCGAGCACATCAAAAGTTATTCATCATCCAACTGCAGTCAATGGTGAAGTAAGGTTTATAATGGACAAAAATTGCTACCAAGTTTACTGGGCACTACGTCAGCCTCCCCCTAGAAACGACCTCCGTGAGTGTGTCGTTTAGATGTTGTCCTTTATGAAGTGAACAAGGTAGGGGGAAATGGGGGACGATGAGGAGAATTCTAATAATCGTACATGAAACGTGTTCCACCGATCGAATGAAAAAGTGATGGATGGAGAAATATTGTACAACATGTCGGTGTATCATTAGTTTGTCATAACTATTACCCTCACGATAGTATAAAGTACTTCTTGGATCTTCTTTTGGCCTGAAAAAAATTCAGGCAAGTGTCGAAACTTTGCGCGAAATACGAGTTAGCGAAGTTGTTCCTGCCTGTAAAAACAATCTCTATTAAACCTAATATACATCCCTGTTATTCTTCAAGTGTTAGCCCAGACGTCACATTTTGCTCACTAGGTCTAGCTGTTTATCCGCAAGAGAAAACATCAAGTATTTGCTGACGAGACACCAGAAGTACGAGTTGATCGATAAAACCAACTGATTACATGACTAGGAATGATCATCAATGAACCGCTTCTAGCTTTGGAAATAAGCCAGTGATTCTGTCTATGTGGGTTAGATAACTGAGGAATTACGTGATGCAGGCTCACTGTGTATCTTTCGTTCTTCATTTGGTAGGCTGCTAACAGATGATCAGTCTATCTCTCGCCTAGGCACTATTCATACGCCCTGGGCTAATGAAAACATACTAGGACCTCTAAACGTATAGAGTAAGGCTATCATAAATTTCAAGTGCCTTTACCTCAATGGACTCACAAGGGGGTGTATGGTTACTAGTCCATCTGGTCGGATTGTGTAGTACAAATACACGGTCAGTGTTCCTTTCAAGGTTACCAACAAGAACTGCCTATCTAATAGCCTGAGTGAATTTCATGCAAGAAAAAAGGAAAAGTTATTCTATATGTGTAAATTAAAGCTCACATATGGTTCGAATGACTCCAAAAAGACAAGAACTCCTCCCCTCCCAGTTTGTCTTGCGGGGTGTTCCATTGTCCAGTTTCCCCACGCCCTTTCTTTTCTCTTCTCTTTCAGTATCGGCCTGACAAGGAAGTCCTAAGCATCAACTTGATTAAAAAGTATCAACTTACTGAAAGTCCTACTTCGTACGTAATATTGGAAGCTGATGTTAGAAGCGTTCAACTGGTTTTTCCCCCATTTCTTGTTTCTTGAACAGATTTACAAGCACTAATACGAAGGGAGCTAGATAGAATATCCGCGTGGTCTGCAGCTTGGAAACTGCAGTTTACTATAAGCAAATATAGCCGGATATGCTTTGGTGCTCCATCGGTAGATATCCAACTGCATCTTCAGTCTACGAAACTTCCTGTTCTTAAAAGTGTGTGACCTTGGACGAAGGTATTCTGGGGACCTCACATTTTCTGAACACTTGGCATCACAGACTAGCAAATCTAGGATCCTAACGGGTTGCACTGTTGTAACTTTCACCTCAACGAAGCCAAGTCACTATTCTGTAAAACTTGCACACCCCCACTATTAGAATATTCTCCATCTATATTGAGTGGTATCCGCATAAAAGACAAACAAAAAATAGAGGGTGTCCGTAAGTATTTTGCAGCTGAATTGCCAGGACTACAGATCCAGGTACAGGGCCCTAAGTCTAGAGCCACTCTGGATGAGATGACTCAAAATTAACCTGACACTCTTCTTTAACGTGTCACATAGATTCTCTTTACAGCTAGTGGTGAGTTTCAGTTCCAACACAACAATTGTTACAATCCGCACAACCACGCCCACAGTGCCACGATGAAACCGTTCAAACCTGTTTGCACGCAAAATTCCTCACCGTCAAATGCCCTCAGTTGTGGAACAGACTTCCTGCTGAAGTAAGAGCCTCGAAATCTACCTCAGAATTTGGTCGGTTACTGGTCAACTTCTTATCAGCTGGCAACTTTCCCGGCTTACCGAATAACCCAACGGTATCATCTATGACATTTGGATACTTGTCCCTCTTAATGTGTAGTGAGACACCCATCATACCTACACTGGCATTTCATACATAGCTTTGGGGAACCTACCAGAGGTCGTGGCCTCAAATTAACGGCACGTCCTGCCCTACCCGGCACGGTTATCAAAAATAAAAGTTTTACACTATACAACCGCATGAGATCTACATTCTTCAGCATTCAGCAGAGAAATTGCATAATGAATGCAGTAGCAAAGAAGGTTAGGTAGGGAGAAGCATGAACATAGAAGACCATCTCCTTGTTGGAATTCTTGCTTCCCTCCCTGCCTGCTGCTTTTTTGTCGTTTTTATCGCCTTGGGAAAGCA